TAACAGCAGCAGACTCACAGAAACCAAGACTGGACTAATGGTTACCAAAGGGAAAGGGACTGGCGAGAGTGGTTGGGAAGGTAGGGAGAAGGGGAATAATGGGCATTATGATTAGCACCCATAACATAGTTGGGGGAACGAGGAAGACAGTATAGCACAGAGAAGAGAAGTAGTGACTCTATAGCATCTTAGTACGTTGATGGACAGTGACTGTAATGTGGTATGTGGTGGGGACGTGATAATGGGGGGAATCTAGTAAGCACAATGTTGCTCATGTGATTGTATATTAATGATACCAAAATAAAATAAATAAATATTTGATGAAATAAATGAATGAAAAGAAAAGAGAACACTTGCTGTACAAGAGATTCTGGTAATCGGAGAGCTTCACTGGAGAATTCTACCAAACTCTTAACGAATTAATGCCAATCTTTCTCAAAATCTTCCAAAAAATTGAAGAGTACAGAACACTTCCAAGCTCATTCTATGAGGCCACCATTACCCTGATATCAATCCAGATTAGGATGCCATGAAAAAACACAACTGCAGACCAATATTCTTATTGAAAATAGATGCAAAATCCTTGCTATGCTGATGCACAGTGCCTGTAATGGGGTATGTGTTGTGGACTTGATAAAAAGGGGGAATGTAGTAACCACACTGTTGCTCATGTGAAGCATTCATAAGATTATATATCAATGATACCTTAATAAAAAAAAAGTAATAAAATAGATGAGCATTTTCTGAAAATATTAGTAAACCAAATTCAAGGTCACATTAAAGGATTTCCCACATGACCAGCTGACACTTATCCCAAGGAGGCAAGGATGGTTCAATATGCAAATCATATGAGATTAGTAGAAGTAAATGAAAAAAATCACATCATCTCAGTAGAGTCAGAATAAGCATGCTACAAAATACAATATACTTTTACCATAAAAACCTGCAAGAAACAGCAGAGAAGGAACAACCTCAGCATGATAATGTCCATATACAACAAACCTATAGTTAACATTATACTCAGCAGTGAAACATTGAAAGCTTCCCCTCTAAGGCCAAGAAGACAAGGACTCTTGAGCCTGCACATAATGATGTTGGAGAACTTTGGACTCTAACCCAACTGAGGTCATGAAAATGACAGAAAGTCTATGGACCAGAATGCAGACATATTTTTCTCATAGTTGATGCACTTGCTGATATTTAAAGCTGGTCTGCAGGTAAGAATTATCAACAATTTTGATTTCCTAATGTGGGTCATGTAGTATTTCTGTGGTAAATTGTGCCTCTAATTGGAAAAATACAGTGGACAATTTTCTATGATGGTGCAAATATAGTGGTGCAGTGACCACTGGAAAATCTGAATGAAGGAATATCAGGGATATTGCAGGTTTTCTGTAAGTCTGAAATTATCTGAAAACACTCTTCTAAATGACTGTGTTCATACTATGCCATTAACTCAATCTGACTGTAAAATGTCACAGAAGAAGAGCTTGATTTACCCCAAATCAACCAAGTTGTAAAGCTGAAGCTAATCAACCTTGTAAGAAACTGAACATTTAGAAGGCAGTACATGAGTATTGTATTAATGTTACTGTACCTACAGTGTGAAGGATAATTTGTGGAGCCTGGGGAAACACTGAGAACTTTAAACCCCTTTTTCTATCATGATGCCTTTCCTCACCTGGCTACTATGAAAACTCTCTAACCCTTGCCACAGGGCACAGGACAGGGACAAGGGCATTCCCTCTTACCGCCGCTCCTCCCATTAAGGCCCATGGAGCCCCCGAACTACTGCATCCAGTCCTCTCCACAAGGCTGACGGAGGACGGAAGCTGGGGTCTCAGCTGTCATTTTGCTTCTTGCGTGGTGCTGCTCTGAGTCTGTCCCTGCAGGTATGACCCAGCAACATGAAGAGAGGGGACTGGAGAGAGAGAATCACCACTCCGGCTCTGTTGGGGTGGGATTCTCTGTAAGTGGCAGGAAGGAGCAACGTGACCTTGAGGGGAATTTATAGTGCAGAGGTATGTGGGCTATGTGATGAAGAGACTATCCCCTGTGCTGCCATAGGGGACTACATGTAATTGGTGCACTTTGACACAGGTTAACATGACTCAAAAGTTAATATATGGAATATCAAAGGAGAATATACACTATGCTGAATCCAAATCTTGATACAAAATCTTATTAAATTGTATGAAAATTAGCACTGTGGAATTGAGTGACTAGAAATAAATTTTAGGTGTCTCCTGACAATTTTAAGACTCTCCTGAAAACTGACAATTTAATCAATCAGCATGATTATTAGTTCACTCGTTTTTAAAAACACAATGAGGATATAAATTTGGAAGTATGTTGTATGAATGTAAAACTTTAATAAGGCACATGGATATACTTTATGAATTTGAAAATTAAAAACAGTAAATTGAAAATATTTCTGGCTTTAGTACAAATATGTAAACTTGAAATATTACATTGTGAGATGTAATATACACTCTTTAAATATTTAACAGAATTTTAATTATTCCAATGTCATAGGAAATTAACCATTATGAGAATTAATAGAAGCACTGGTAAAAAGCATCTGAATTCCATGGTCAGATACTGTCCACAATTCAAGCAGACAATCCCCTGAATGTACACCTACTTCCCCTGTGTGTGAATCTGTGTCAGGCTTCCTCCATGAAAACAATTCAGAAGAAGTAAAACCCACAGGTTTTATAGACATAGACACCCTTGTAAAATAAAGATTCTATACAATAGTTATGAGAAACTAAAACAAAACCCCTGTTAATAGTCCAGAAAATTTTAGATTCCTTAAGTAATTAAGAAAACTTCCCTAGGAGTTGTAACACATAAAATACACATTGCTAAACTCAGAATCATGCTGGCACAGATGCTGGCACAATTTAAGGCAATTGATAATGATGAATCATATGAATCATAAGCAAATGGTTAAAAAACAGCTCTAGTGAAAAACCAGGACAATATCTAATTCCTCATGCTTATTAGAATGCCTGTCGTCTAGCTTACCAAGAAAGAACATTAGGTAGAAAGTATATTAGAGGAATGTAAAGCTAAAGCAAGGTTTATGTACATTTTTTTCTGAAGCTCAAAATAGACCAAAAAAGTAAAGGAATGAGCATGCTAAAAAGAAACTTGAATTTTCCACTATTACAAGAAGGAAACACATAAAAAAAGAAGGAGATTAGAAACATCTCACTGTTATCTCAGAAACCAAGACACATAAAAGTAAAGTACCTTCAGATTTTCTACTTGGAACCTGAGAAAATCTCTTTTCCATAAATGCATCTTATTTAGAAAAAGCAGCCAATGTTTTGGCTCTTAAGAATTATGGTGATTTCAGTCCTTAAGATGTTTTGTAACTGCACAGGCATTTCCTGTCTGATAAAGTCCCTCAGACATCTCATTGATACAGAAGACTGGGTCCATCAATTATGACCCACAGTATGGGAATCAGAATGTGTAAGTTAAGATTAAAGAAAATGGGAGTTTGCAAACCAAGGTAAAGCAAACTAAAATGGCCCAGGACTCTGATTTCCCCCTCAAGGCCACAGACAGACTCTTGACTCATGTATCCTTGACTTGTTTTACAGGAATTTAGGCCCCACCAGACGAGCCACCTCCTGACAATGAGCACGTGGACTCTAGCCTCAGTGGAGCCAGAAGGATGACCGCTAACACTCCTGAAACAGTCCCCTGCCACCTCACCATGGACCCGTCAGAACAATGCCACAAGCTCATCACACATCCTGCAACCCTTTCCCATAACCTTTATAAGCCCTTGCTTATAAGCCAATAGTGAGTGCAGGGCTTTAAGCTTTAGCTATCCATTCTCCTTGCTTGGGGAACGCCCACCTTCTTTCCCAATGTCAAAAAAAACCACATCCCAAAGTCAGGGTTTGGTTTCACTGCTCAGGTGAAACCTTTGCTGTATGTTGGCTGAGTGGAAACAAGTTTGTTTCATTTGGTAACAACTTCACCTTAGATGGTTTTAAGCAGCATGCAGTAGGTGACATGAAGAGAAAAGACATCATCATATTTTGATCTTCTAAACCTGAATCATGAAATTTGCTCACTCTAATCGTGATGTTCCCTAGGTTCATTTATGTATATTTTAACAAATACATTCACACAGAGGTCTGGCAAAGAACATATTAGTGGATGAAGATAATTTTTAAAAATTATGTTCAACACTAATTCAGGAGAAATCATCAAGCACAATGATAATCCAGTTTGAAAATGACAAGCTACAAGGGATATTAACATACTGATAAGTTAGCTTTTCGAAAGCTAGGGACATTAAAGCATACTAAATTCTGGTTTGGCATCAATAAAATAGTAGAACTCAAAATAATGTTCTGAATTTTAATGTACTTAAACTTCCACTTTTCAGTGGATCTCAATTACTTTAATGTTGGAAAAGTAACAATACAGGTGAGTGAAGGAACTTACTAGGTGTGACTTTTCTCTTTGCTCAAGTTGCAGGGAAGATTGGCTGGTCCCATTTCTTGACATGAATTTTATGACTGTGTATATGATGTTGAAGTGGCATTTCTCTACAGAAACAATCCTGAATGAAAATGATACAGAATAATATAAAGTTAATCCTTAGAAACCCTCACTGAATGAGGAACATTGCACATTAATTATTACAGGGTCAGGTATTTAAAGATGATTCACAGAAGGGCAAAAAGACTGAAGAGCTGGCTCATTTCTCACTTGATCTGCTTCCATAAAGCATTTTAAATTCACAAAATATTATTCTTTCTGGGCACACACTATGCCCCGGACCCTGGAGATATTATATAATCTAATTCTGATCTTTCATAACAGTTTTACTGTATAGATAACACCAGCCCTATTTACCTTTCTAAGAAATTTTATACAACACATGTAAAAAAAATGCTACAATACTATATGAGAATTTAATAAAGAAAGGATTTAGGAATATGATAGAAAATGGCAGGTTCCGTACTCACTCATTACAGAAACATCCAGAAGAAATCATGGCAAAGCCCCATCTGCAGGTGTCAGGACCCCACGCAGGACGCATTTTCCTCCTGGTGGACTGCGCTCCAAGTCATCCCAAAGTTGCAGCCCAGCCTCCTGGGTCCTGCAGATACAAAAGCTCAAGTCTTCACTCTAGCAAAGGTACCAGAGTGCACAGGAGGAGCACATGTGCTCAGTGCATGCCAGAAAAGGTAGGTTCAGCATCCCATAGCTCAAACATAGTCACTACTGATGGTTGGGCCCCTTCTTAGAAGTCCTGGTAAAGGGCTCAAATCCAATATATGATTATTCAGTGAAAATATATGGTTAAGTTCAAACAGAAATGGAGCCTGATGTTCTGTGCCCAGATGGGATTTTACACATATACCATAAACTTAAGATCAAAGTGAACATAAAAATTTCTGATTTTCAGTCAACCATTAACATATGATTGGAATATGTAAGAAACAGTATCATTTATATCCACCAAAACTAAAAAATGCAAAAATACAAATGCTCAAATATAAATGCAACAAAATACTTATAAATCTCTGGGGAAAAACATGTGAAACATTTTTGACAGCAATGAAAGAAAAGACAAAACAACTGAGATATACTGTCCATGATGAAAATTCCATTACTAAGATGTCCATTTTCCTCAAATTGACTTCTTTAGAGACCCCAAGTAATCCCAGCAATAACCTTACCACACTATATTGCAGGAATTCACAACTCATTTGAATACCTGTTCATCTATACAATGATAAAGAAAAAGTTGAACTCAAATGTTAAAATTTCAAGCTTAATTGCACAGCTACAATAATCAAAGGAACATATTTAAAATGAATACACACAGGGACTCTCTTGTCCCCTCCTGGTGTGAGCCAGGAGCTCTGTCCTTTCGCTTTATCTCTAAATAAAAGCCTGTACCTTGCTCTCCTACCTTGAGTGTTTATGAAGCTCATTCTTCGGCTTTGTGAACAAGAACCCTGGCATCAGAATGACCCAAAACAAGTCTCCTAACCACAAAAGCACTGACACCTTCTCTGCCCTGATAGAAACCACTGAAGAAACAGAACTTGACAGCCCTTGACTGAGACTTCATGGTAACTGTCCAAAGCAGCAATTTCATCCTAATGGATCCAGAAGATGACTGAGAAATTAGATTTTGCCTTGCTATTAAAAAATCATCAAACTAACTACCAAACTTCTAGAAAAAAAATAACAGAACACGTCTTATTAGTTGCCCTGTTTGTTATCTGTGCTCCAACAACAAGGATCCTCCTGGCTGCAAGTGGATAACAGACTTGCCAAGCATGTAACTCCAATTTCAGGAGGCAAGCAACTTACATATTAGATAGTTATAAAACTGCACTAGATTAAGTGAACAAATTGTATTTCCATTCTACAGTATTATCCTGATCTGTAAACCTGTCTTCATTAGCCTGAATATTTTCAAACACCTAAAACTCAACTAGTTCTAATCATCTGCTTTACCAGTCAAAACCAAATGTGTGCTTGACACCCTCCATTTAAAAAACCCAGCTGTCTTGACGTTGATGTCTAGAACAAACACCTACCAGAGGTTTCCACAGGTCATTCACCCTTCTATTGGGCAGGTGTGTTTAGATGAAACTTCTGATTTAAATGTCAAGCCACACTATAAATTGCACTTCTTTTCTCCTGATTAATAAGATAATAAATAAATACACACAAATAAATGAAATAGAACAGAGAGTTCACAAATGGACCCAACAAAATTACAGAAACTTGAACCTCGCCAAAGAAATGAAAGCACTTCCACACAGAAAACAGGGCCTTTAGAGTTTATTCTTCCATTTTCTTATTTAGAGTTCACCACCATCAACAAATGGAGACGAGGCAAAAGGACGGCCATGTGTAAATGAACACAGACAACTCAGGTCAGAAATGGAAGTGACAACTGACACAACAGAAACACAAAGGACTGCAAGAGGCTGTTATAAAAAGCTCCTAGAAATGCACAATATTCCAAAACTGAACCAGACAGAAGAAATAGAAAATCTCCACTGACAGATTGACAGTAGTGAACTGCACTGATAATCAAAAAAAAAAAAAACCAATCCTTACAAAGTCAAGGACCAGATGGTTTCAAAATTACTTCCACCAAACATTTAAAGTACAGTTAATATTTACCTTTCTCAAACTACTTCTAAACCTTGAAAAGGAAGGAAAACTTCACGCCTTTTTATTAGATCAGCATCACCCCAATACCAAATCCAACAAAAACAGTACAAAAAAGGAACACTAAGACACCACCATCCTTGGTGAACACATTTGTGAAAATCCTCAAAAAAATTACCAGCAAACTGAATTAAAAAATACATTACAAAACTCATTAACCAAGAACAAGTAGGATTTATTCCAGGGAGGCAAAGATGATGAAATATGCACAATCAATGTGACACATCCCATTAAGAAAAGGAAGGATAAAAACTATCGTCATCACAATAGGTCCTAAAAAGGATGACAAAACCCAACAGGCTTTTATGCTAAAAACTCAACAAAGTGTGTATAGAGGGAACATACATCAACATAACAAAGGCCACATATGACAAACTCACAGCTGCCATCACACTGAATTTCAAAAAGCTGAAAGCTTTTCCTCTAAGGTCAGGAACAAGATAAGAGTGCCCACTGTCACCACTTTTATTAAACATAGTCCTGAAAGTCCCAGCCACGGCAACTAGACAAGTAAAAGGCATCCAAGTTGGTAAGGAAGAAGTCAGATTTCCCCTATTTACAGGTGAGATGATACTGTATAGAGAAAACCCTAAAAACTGCATCAAAAGACTACTAGAATTAATAAATGAACTCAGTAAACGTCACAGCAAACAAAACCAATGTGTAAAAATCTGCCACATTTACACATCCAAATGAACTAACAGAAAGAGATTTAAGAAAGAATCCCATTTATGATTGCCTCAAAAAGGATAAAGTCACTGGGAATAAAATTCAACCAAGGCAGATGAAGACCTGTACTCTCAAAACTCTAAGACACTGATGAAAAGAAATTGAGGAAGACACAATAAATGGAAAACTATCCCGTACTCCTGGATAGGATGAATGAATATTGTTAAAATTGCCATATTATCCAAAGCAACCTATAGATTCAATGCAATCCCTATCAAAAAACCAATGGCATTTTTCACTCAACTAGAGGAAAAGATCCTAAAATTTATATGCAACCTCAAAAGACCCTGAAGAGTCAAAGAAATCTTGACAATGAAGAACAATGCTGGGGGTAAAGAGCTATACTACAAAGCTGCAGTGAATTAAACAGTATGGTACTGACACAAGAATATATGAATCAATGGAACTGAACAGATAACTAAGAAATAAACCCACACTTATATGGTCAATTAAAATATGACAAAAGAGGCAAGAATATACAATGGGGAAAAAACAGTCTCTTCAATAAATGGTGCTGGGAAAACCAGAAACCTACATGCAGAATGGTACTGCATCACTGTCTAACATCATGCACAAAACTTAATTCAAAATGGATTAAATACCTAAAGGCATGAAAGCACAAAACTTTTTAAAGAAAAGATGGGCATGAATCTCTTGAAAATCAGCAAGAGTAAATTTTTTCTCGACACACCTCCCCAGGCAAAGGAAACAAAAGAAAGAATAAACAAGAGGAGGCTCATCGATCTAAAACGTTTCTGTATAGGAAAGGACAACATCAACAAAATGAAAAGGAAACGTACTGTAAGGAAAAACATATCTGAAAGTGATATATCTGATAAGGGGCGGATATCCAATATATATTGGATAAATATACCACAAAACAAAGAACCCATTAAAATATGGGCAGAGAACCTGAATAGACATTTTTCCAAAGAGGGCATACAGATGGCCTACAGTCACATGAAAAGATGCTCCACATCACTAATCATCAGGCAAATGCAAATTAAAACCACGAGGGGACTCACTCAAGATGGCGACATGAGTAGGGTGGCAGAAATATCCTCCCAAAACCATACAGATTTTGAAAATACACCAAAAGCAACTACTCTTAAAAGACAGACCAGAAGATACAGTACAAAAGCCAGGCTACATTTACATCTGTGAGAACTCAGCATCTCATGAAAAAAGTAAGATACAAAGCTGTGATATGGTGGAACCAGAGCACTCCCCCCACCCCAGCTCACTGGGGTGAGGAAAAGAATCAGACTAGGGAGGGAGTGGAAGCACAGGGCTGTTAAATAACCAGCCCTAGTATTCTTCACTGGGAGCACAGACACACATTGCATGGTGTACGGGATATGACAGAAACAGAAAAGTAACTTCCAAGATGGAGACCACGAACAGGTCCCCACAGCCGGCTGCCCTGGAACAAAAGAAAAGCAGGCACTTTAAAAGTCTTAAGGGGACAAGGGTTTAACAGGTGGACTAAATCGTCCTGGTACACTCAGAAAAGGAGGCTGGGAATGTGAAGGAACTTCAGGCACCCTAACCCCCTGAGTAGCAACACAGCTCCGAAGCCCATCACAGCAATAAGCAGCCTGTTTATTCCCCCCAGTGGGCACTGCAAGCAAACCACTGATGCACCATTGCTGTAGACCAGCAGGGGAGCAGCCCCACTCACAGCAACCACACAGAATCTTCTCCCAGTGCACAGTTAAATGAGTCAGACCCAGAAACTGCCCCGTGTGCAGCAGCTGCCTGTCACAAGCTTAATGAAGCCAGTGCAAAGTCTGGAAGTCATGAAGGGGCACCATTCTCACAGGAGAACACATGCGGCTTGCCTGCAACCCCTGCCAGTGCCTTAGGCTATCCTGAGGGCCGCCCCACACAAGGCAGCTCAGGGGATTAACCCAGAGACTGCTCCCTGTGTGCAGTTAACCAGTATAGGAAGCAGAGAAGGGCAAAGTGACCAGAAAACAGAAAGGGATTTTGTTCTCCCACCTGACACACATACCACTCACCACTGATCACTTCTATTACCATGAAAAGGAAGAACGACCTGGTTCTGTCCAAAATCACTCAAATGCCAGAGAGAGAGCCTGGTGAGACCAGTATAAGCAGTCTTCCTAAAAAAGAATTCAAAATAAAAGTCATAACCAAGCTGATGGAGTTGCAGAGAAATATGCAAGAGCTAAGGGATGAATTTTGGAGGGAGACAACACAAATGAAACAAACAATGGAAGGACTGAAGAGGAGACTGGATGAGGTGCAAGAGACTGTTGATGAAACAAACAATGAAAGGACTTAAGAGCAGACTGGATGAGGTGCAAGAGACTGTTGATGAAATAGAAAACAGGAATACAGAGAAGCTGAGGCAGAGATAAAAGGATCTATAGGAATGAAAGAATACTTAAGAGAATTGTGTGACCAATGCAAATGGTATATTCGCATTATAGGGGTACCAAAAGAAGAGAGAGACAATGGGGTAGGAACTGTCTTTGAAGAAATAATTGATGAAAACTTCCCCAAGCTGGGGAAGGAAATAGTCTCTCAGACCATGGAAACCCACAGATTTCCCAACACAATGGACCCAAGGAGAACAACATCAAGACACATAATAATTAAAATGGCAAAGATCAAAGACAAGGACAGGGTAGTAAAAGCAGCCAGAGAAAAAAGATCACCTACGAAGGAAAATCAGGCTATTACGACACTTCTCAACAGAAACCTTACAGGCCAGAAGAGAATGGCATGATATATTTAACGCAATGAAACAGAAGGGCCTTGAACCAAGAATGCTGTATCCAGCAAGATTATCACTTAAATTTGAAGGAGGGATTAAACAATTTCCAGATAAGCAAAAGTTGAGGGAATTTACCTTCCACAAACCACCTCTACAGTGTATTTTAAAGGAACTGCTCTAGATGGAAGTACTCCTAAGGTTAAATAGATGTCACCAGAGAAAATAAAATCACACCAAAGAGAGCACACCAAATACTAAGTAAAGGCAAAAAATAAAATCATCTATCCACAAAAGGAGTTAAGGGAAACAAAAGAGAGTACAGAATTAAACACCTAACACACAGAGAGTGGAGGAGGCAGAAAAAGAAGGGAGAAAAATAAAGAATCATCACACTGTGTTTATAACAGCATAATAAGTGAGTTCATGTTAGATGGTTAGATAACAAAGAAGCTATCCTTGAACCCATGGTAACCACGAATCCAAAGCCTGCAATGGAAATAAGTACATATCGATAATTACCCTAAATGTAAATGTAGGAAATGCACCAATCAAAAGACACAGAGGGAGGAGGAGCGAAGATGGTGGTGTGAGTAGAGCAACAGAAATCTCCTCCCAAAACCATATATATTTGAAAATACAGCAAACACAAATATTCCTAAAAGAGAGACCAGAAGATACAGTACAACAGCCAGGCTACATCTACATCTGTGAGACCCTAGCGCCTCACAAAGCAGGTAAGATACAAACCGTGGCCCGGTGGAACCCGAGCGAGCCCCTCAACCCAGCTCCTTGGCAGGAGGAGAGGACTCAGAGCAAGGAGGGAGAGGGAGTGGAGGACTGCTAAATACACAGCCCCAGTCATCCACACTGGGAGCACAGACACACAGTGAGTGGTGTGCTGGATACTAGGGAAATGGAACAGTAAAACATGCGACTGTATCCCTGTAGCTGGCGCCCCTGGGACAAAAGAAAAGTGAGTGCTTTTTTAA